TGGAACGCACTACCACTTCACATTAAAAAATCAACATCAATTGCTTTATTTAAAAAATCACTCAAAACGCACTTATTCCAACAATAACATGAAGCGCCACTGATAATTACTTTGGTTTTTTAAATGGTGCTATATAAGTTCTTACCTTATTATTATTATTATTATTATTATTATTATTATTATTATGTTAAGGTTGTCATTAAATCCTCATGCCCATCCTTAATTATATGTAGCATATATAATTAGAACGTAAGTAAATTTTGAATATTGAATGTTGTAAATAAACTGATTTTTTTTTTTAAGCTTTATCAAAGTTGACAAAAAATTGTTGTATGCCCATATATAGTCATGGTGTACATATATACGGACATAATGTCATGTCACGGGTTATTTTAAATCAAATTTGTTGTCTGGACAGGGCTAAATGAATTTTAACTACCTTGGTACTCCACCGCCACCTCCCCCACCATCTCCTCCGCCACCTTCTCCGGCTTCTAAATCCATATCGGGGTCGCCTTCTTCCCCACCTTCTTCACCTGGTGCTGAGCCTAGATCGCTCTGAGACGCTGGACAAATAAATTTACACAGAGTTAATCATTTGTGGATAGAATAAATGTAGCTTTTGTCAATATTATATTGTCCTATTCCTGTAGTTGTGAATGCGAATAAAAATAATTGTATTTCATTAATCTTTTATATTGGTCTAACTTGTGTATAATCTTTTAACTTCTTAAGAATTTAACAGAAATTTCAGTAGTGAGTTACATCTAAATATATACTGCAAAATAATTAAATAATAAATTTTACAGAAATTTAAGAAGCAAATGTACTTAAGGCATAGATTTTTTTTGTTTATTCTCCCATACTATTGACAAATTAGTGACTACATTAAATAGCATACTGTCTTATGATACAACAAACAAACTCAGAAATGCCATTATTATTGGACTTAGTTTGTTAATTATCTTACTAGTCTGATAACAAAGAAAATATCCTAATATGTTTTCTCAGTGGTATGATGTTCTAATAATAATAATAAGATTTATTAAGCGCACTTCTACTGATGTACTACTACTAAATAAATGAAACCACATTTCATATGGGATTGATGAAGTAGATATCAGGCCCACATTATTACATTTTATTTCTTGTGTAAACCGTCATACACATGACACATAAAAGTTCATTGGAAGTTTGATTACCATCATAATGCCTACAGATTCTCATTTTGTACATAAAATTTTGTATATCCATTTAATAGATTGTCAATTTGATATGCATAAACCATAATGGGCTTAGCATTATACTTGAGGGACAAGGAGAGGTAATTTAATCATTCAATCTGTTCAGATTTTCTTTAACAAAATAATGTTGTATCCCCATTACGTCATGACACCTACACATGGTCATGATGTGATGTCATCATTACCATATTTAGACATATCATATGTTTTTGGCATTTGATAGTCTGGATAGGGCATTAGGCTGGGTATATTTTCAGATTTTTATCTGTCAGTTTCAACAAGATAATGTTTGATCAGATTTTGTCTCATGAGATATAGCTTTAATCTCTATCCACACTATTAAACTGCTGTATGCCCAATTATGGTAATGATGTGCCTATATATGGTCATGATATGATGTCATCATGACCATATTTAGGCATGTCACATGTCTTTCATATAAAATGTTGTAGTCTGGACACGACTTTAGTATTACAGGAGTTGGAAGAAGCCACTTCTGGGAGATTTGGTTTAATAAGTTTTTTTTTCAGATATCTAATTGAATATTGGTGCTTGTGGTGACCCTAACTCAATATTGGTGCTTGTGGTGACACCCAGGACCGGCTGATGTTCAGAAAACAATTGATAATACAGTCTAAATAAACATGCAAAACATCATGAATTGGCAGAGAAGGTTTAGAGATTTACTGTATCCTTGCTCCTGCAAGTACAAAGCTGTACCAATTAACGGGAGATTAAAGTAGCAGCAGATTTTGGACACTTGGTATTAGCTTTTAAAAGACCTAAAAAGATACAGTACCATAATTGACTGATAAGTTGTTTGTTGCCATGGAATAATAATAATCATTCTATTGATATCGTCTGGTGAGTATGTCACTCAGAAAATGTGATAGCATATGCTAGACTTGTGGCCAAGTTTTAATCGAGGCTTCTTGGTGTATAAGGAAGGCACCTAACCACCAAGCTGTTAATAAAAAATCTAAAGACATAAATTTTACTCTTGAATAACCAGTACTCTATACTATACGTGTTATCTATCTAATATATTTTCTTTAAAAAATATGATGGTTTTCAACTATGAGCTACAATAACATCTAAATCTGCCTGTGTACACTACATTACATTTAAATTCCAATACTTTTAAAATGTTTATGTAAGTTTGAAAATAAAATAAATTTATGTATAATGATTATTAGTTAGGTAGATGTTTAGTCACTAATAACTTAAATACATATTTAAAACACCGACATATACTTCATATACACCAAAATCTTTTCTAGCTACAGTAACTGTACAGCTACCTACCTTGCTATCCAAGAACTTAAGTGTATAATCCTAAATAATTTTATTTTTATAAAATTCAAAGGCCCACCCTACTATTGAACACATCCGAGCAGATACCAGACTGTATATTAAACATTAAAAATGGCTAACTGCTTATTTGGCAGATAATTTGACATTCAAAATTGCAGGGTACGTAAAACCCACAAATTTGCATATCAAAGCAGAGAGAAGTCAAGTAATTAAAAACCGTGAGTATTACTGGTTGCTTTATCATTATATCATAGGATATAAAATTCAAACAATAACAGTGAATAAGTGAAATCACAAGATGACCAATATTTCAATATTAATCATTAGTATATCACATGGTTTGCATAGAGGCTTTTTATATTTAAAAATAATATTATTTAGAAAGTTCTAGAATTGATTCTAAGAATAAATGTGGTTTCAGAAATTGTTTTAAATAAATGTTTTGAGATAATTATTCTTATATTGTTACATTGAATAGATTTATCTACTACAAAAAAAAAATTATAGAATAAATGAAATTATATGAAATAAATTGGTTTTTCATCAAAAATAATAGAATAAAATCAATACCAAATTCTTATACTGCATTACAAAATATATTATAGAAAGAGATATGCTATACCCTACCATGTATACATATAGACACACATACAAAGTTTAAATCCAGGATTGAAAAGTGTTCAAAAAACAACCCAAAACATATCAAGAAAACATTCCCAGATGGCAACAAGGATAAGTATATATAATAATATACAACCAAAAAAACCCAAAAATGAAAGCAGTATACACACCCAAATATAAATTTTAAAAATCATTCCATTTATAGGTGGAAATATTAAATGCAAGTATACAAAAAGTATTTAAAAGATAAACACATTCAAAGAAAAATGTAAGGATAAATAAATAAATTTTAAAAATCATTCCATTTATAGGTGGAAATATTAAATGCAAGTATACAAAAATTATTTAAAAGATAAACACATTCAAAGAAAAATGTAAAAAACAATAAATTTGTTTAAAATCATGCAAGAGTTTGCTATTTACTGTACACAATAGGTTGTGACAAAGTAGAGTCGAGATGGGGACGCATGTATCATAATTCATAGCTATTGTAGGCTTTTTTTTTTCCAATTTAAACTTTTCAATTAGATACCTGATATGCAAGTTCTAATTAAGGCTGATTATATATAATGAGTATCTAAGCAGTAAGTATTTTAGTCCACTTTCCTCACAATGGGGTAGCATGCTTATTTGACTTTTTTTTTACAATTAAGTTAAGTACAAAATTATTTTCCACTTCAAATACATGTTATCTTAAGTGCCTTTGGCTGCTTAATGTGTAGCAAACACACACGTTGTTATCATTAAACAGGATTATGCTAGACAAAACTGAAAATAATTTGGAGTTAACTGCGCATAATTGTACCAAAATGGATTTATGGTAAATTGGACAAAAGATCAGTTATTCAGTAATCCATTCAGAAAATATATTATTACTAATTCTATTAAATGTTAATAATTGATATAACCATGACAATAAAAATTTAGCACCCTCATAGTAGTACCCTTTAATAGTTTTGCTTCCAGAATTAATTATTTTTTGTGTTACTTTAACATCAAAAATACTTACCCCACCTCTCTTACAATGTCAATGCCACAAAGAAGATTTATTTCTGTTTTTAGTTATAACATCATATTACTTAACGTTTTATCAATTTTAATTGGTGATTGGTAATTCTTTTGTGTAAAACCAATGGTTATAAAAGTTAAGTTTGCGTATATTGACATCCAAAGTCATCAAATGCTCGTGGCAGAGCATATATTTTTTTCCGACAGTAAGTCACAGAAAACCATTAATGACATTGTTTAAGCTGATAAGCCATGTAAGCTATTAGGTACATTACGTAATCAAATAGCATTAAATAAAGGAGAAAATGAAATAGTGCCAAACCTGCTTCCCAACAATGACTTCCCAACAATGAAATAAAGACTCAAAATAGACCTTTGTGTATTTTGTTGTGCTTATTAAAACAATAGCACTATTATAATTAAATCACTGTTAATGATTCATTGCAGTTTTTCATAGAAATAACTTTTCCAATTATAAGCATCAACTTATCACACCAATGATAATCGTCAATATTATCAGAACTCTTTTATTCCCAACATTCTCATCTTCATTATCATTATAATAATCATCCTCATCCTAATTTGGCCTAAAAAAACACATTGTTTATTTGCGCTTTAACACTGAAAATTGTATAGGAGTTGCGGGCGCAAAAAAGTTATTTTTTAGCTTTTTTTTTTCTCCTGTCACCAAAATTAACATATATTGCAATGAATTTAGGATTAGAATGGCAATACTTTACATCAGACACCAAATTTAGACATCTTTCATGTGCAAAATGGAGAAAAATAAAGATTACTCTTTAAAATTTATGAACAAAAAATTGAAAAAAAATTTTTTTTTTTAAATGCCGCCCCTTTCCTGCTGTGAGATAGGGGCGGGCGCTGGAGGGCAAAACAAACTTTTTTTTAGGCCTTATTCTCTCATCATCCTCATTAATTTATCATCCCCATCTTCATCATCATTCTCATCCTCATCATTAACTTAATCATCCTTATCATTATAATCATCAAAGTTATCATCCAACTATTAATTTATCTCATCACATTTATCCTCTTTATTACCTTCTTCATCATCCTCATCACTCACCCTCATCATTATCATAATTACTTCATCATCATCCCCACCATCATCCTTATATACTGTATAATCATCACCCTCCTCCTCATCATCAAACTAATTATCTTCTATACCTACACCTCTATCAACTCCCCACCACTCCTCATAGCGACCACATAGAAATGTTATTTCCACACTATTTTGCAAACTGAATACATTATCCTTATAATCAATTTCTTGGAGCAATGCAAAAGTGCATATTTTGAGTCATTTTTTGATGAAAATAAGTGCACAAGAACCTGCAGTGATGGGTGCTTCTGCACCGCCCCCACCTGGCTTTTCCGCTCCCTTCGGTGGCACATATTTGATCTGCAGCTTGATCTTAGCCTAAAAGAACAAAAAAACTAAAGATTATCATCCAATTTATGAAGCTTTTTTACGACTAATAACAACACCAATAATTATAATATAAACAACAACAAAAATAACCACAATGACAAAAACAACCACAATATCAATCACTCTGGAAAACAACGGGAGATAATGATGGACTATAGTTCATGTAACTAGGTCACACTACATATAAATTATTATCTTCATAACTATGGCTTATAATATTCAGTTATGACCAACATAATTTACATAAAAGTCAAACAACATATGAAGAGAATGATACCCGGTTATCATTGTCAACAAATATTTTCTTAGTAAGACAATTCAATTTGCATTAATTAGTTACTTATTTAGGACCCAACTTGGGTATTTTTTTCAATGATTTGGAATACTTAACTAAGCACAAATACAAAATTTATATCTCATACTCTAGGCCCAGATTTTTATTACGAATATCAGAGATACTCCCACATACAAGCACCATTCATTTGGCAATAATTTACATGTTTGACTAACCACACGCGCATACAAAAATCATAATGCAAATACGATATGTATGTACCATTTGAAAACCTCAATAGTATTCTATTCATTATGCTATGCATTGAGATATTCAATATTGTGGAAGAGGGATAGTGACTTGCATAGCAAGCAAAATAATTCCCCCATTAAAAAGGCCTTTTGATTCTGTTTAATACGGTAGCTCAGCATTCCAGCATACTTTAAATTAATATATCAACGTGATTAATGATGTTTGACTAAGCACAGTATATCTCTATTAAAAATTTGTATTTATTACTTATTGGTTACAATAAATATTCTTTTCTCTATAATAAATATACATACACATTTATATAATTGTCACTCATTATTGCATACCTGTGTAGGTCGTCCATTACCATCGAGTAACACTGGGTTAACATCAAGTGAGTGGGACTTGGATTTGATACATTGTCCAAGGCCAACGGTCACATTCCCAAGCAGTCTGGAAAATTCAAATATATGCAATTGGTAATATTTAATTTATTATTTTGTTGGTATTTATATAGCACCTTTTCTATAGGTTACAAAGCGCTGTTTTCCATGGTCATTGCTTAAGTACTGACGCCATATTGGCGCAGTAGCAGGTAAGACCCCCACCAGGTACCCATTTATACTCCTGGGTAGGAAGATATACGCAGATATATTGCCTTACTCAAGGACACAATCGAATTGCACAGTGAGGGATTGAACCCCGACCTCAAGGTAGGGAAACCAAACCATTCTTACTGCACCACACCGCTTACTAACCTGTAATAAACAAAGGTAATTATAATCAAGTTATTTATAAATAAATATTACAAACTACTATATTATTGCCGTACAGTAGTTCCTCGGGATAAGCACTCCATTTGAACACAAGGGCGAAATAAATGTGGTATGCTAATTATGACAAGAATTGTGGTGATGCCAAGGCAATAAAGAGGAGATAGTAGACAATATTTCTGGCAACATAATAAAAAAATATATCATTGGGGATGGATGGTACAGGTTGAATTAAAGGCATCTAGGGGTCATACTGATCAGTACAGGAACTCCTACCTTGCTATTCATCCATAAGTATAGTACTAGTTTTTATTTGTAAAGTATTATATAATATTTAATATTTTCAATATTCATTATTATAACATTTGTTTAATTTCGATAATGAATTCTAACTACATTTTGTAGATGACATATAGAGGGCAGTATTTAGGCCTACTGGTAAAGAAAACTTGCACACTAAACTAATCATAAGATTCATTCACAATTTTAAATTTCACTAATTATTAAGTTCTTTATTCATGAAAGGTCGCTAATCATAAAAAATTGTGAACATAAAAAAAGAAGCGTCCACAACCATTACGATAAAAATTAGACCGTTGTTGTCCATACCTCCATATTATTTTTAGCTTACAATTTTGACTTATAAAATGGCTGCATCTAATGAAAATTAGAGCGGGAGATAGAAACTAAACTTCTGTTCCGTTGCAGTACCAGACGCTACTTGGGTATGGGATTCAACACGAGTCACAAGCGTCAGCTCAGTGGTCTAGTGGTTATGACACCAGGCTATTTATCCGGAGGTCGTGGGTTCAAGTCCCACCCAAATCACTTGCTATTTTTTTTCACAAGTATTTTTGGAACGTACTGAGTATTTGGTATGATAACATGTCAGGTAGGGCAAAATATCACTCAAATGACATTTTCCTGATGCAAACACACATCGAAGTACACTTCCGTTGCTATATCAACTTTCCTCTTTCACTTTCAGCAACATTACAACAAATTGGCATTTTATTCATGTCTATTCCCATGCCCCTAAGGAGAAATAATATATGAACCATTGCTATACACTTCAATGTCAATTTACAACAGCTCATCCTGTAAATTGTAAGCCAAAGTGCTAAGATATACATAGTAGGTGTTTTATAAAATTGCACTTCAAGTCCAGTAGCAGTGTAATACGTTTATAATATACTAATCATTTATAATATATTAATTTATTTTCATATGCACATGTTTAGTTTTATGCTTACAATGATTAAGGTGAATGAAAAGATCATAACATAAAATAGCAACAAAAATAGGAGTGAATTAGCGAGTCAATTGTAAACCAAATTCAGAACACAAATTACCAACACAATATTCTATTAAACTAAGCATTTTTATACAAATTAAGTATTGCACTGTTTGGTAATGCAGTGAGCATCTGGAGATGGAATACAAATGACTCCATCCAGCTGTTGATATCATTAATCAGGTCAAAAATCAATACAATTAAACTATTATATTGGTTATTTTACTTCATTCATAGAAATAATGTATATGCAATGTTTGTGTCATATTTTTTAACTTCATTTTTTCCATGAAGATACGTCCCCTTTGCATTTTTTCTGGGAAAAAAAGAGTTGCGAAGTATTTGTTTACAGACAAAGATTCAAAAACATGCTCGATCCTACGATCACCGACTATAAAAAAGAACTGAAATAATATTAACAACTTGCACCCCACATAATTACCTCCTTAAACAGGGCTTGTGAGCTGAGGTGAGTGACTGCACTCCTACCATCATTACATACCTAATCAGAAATTTGAAAATAGGGCACCACATGGGCCTAGGCTGGGAGGAAGGGGGAATAGTAGCAAATTAGTTCCATATGTAAGTTAGAATACTAAAAATGGCCATTAAACTTTCAATGGAATTGGGATTTAGTTTCGAATTCTCAATTTACGCAAACTCCCACACACACCCCCCCATCCCCAACCTGCCTTTTCAATTTTTTACACCTTCTCCGCCCCTCAGGATGAAACTAGCCTGCACACCCCCCCTACATCATTGGTTTAAAAATCACACCTTCATTAATTGATACAATGGGTGTTTATAGCTCACCTATTATTTTCAAATCACAAGCAAGTATACGAGGATCATTCCTGATGATGACATAATTAATGTCGAAATATTGAATCCCAACACGATGGCGTGTATTTCAATACTTGGAGTACTGTACGTATTATACTTTCTTATCTGAGATTAATCAGTGGACCTTTCAGTTTTTAAGCAAGTATACCTATTTATAATTTTAATTTATTTATTTATAATTTAATTTATATATTTTTTTTTAATTGTATTTATTTATTTTATCTTATTTGTACATTCACCTGAAGAAGACCACTGCGTGATCGAAAGCTTGTGATTAAATAAATGTGTTAGTCTGTAAAATGCTGTTTGTTGTTCATTTACTATTTATAATTATAATAGTTCAATTAAGATTTATTTTAAATGACATTAAAATGAATTGTGAAACCATTAAAAAAAATAGCAAATTTAGTATAATTTATAAACTTTGGTTTTCTAGATTTCAGTAAGGTAAAAAGCATCTTGAAAGTGTAAATGTCACCAAAATCAATTAGTATATTTCGAGGTTATTAGCTTTCAAAAGAAATTAGAACAACCACCACCTTTTAAATAATATCACTATACTCTTATATTTTCGACAGCAAATTTAGGGACTCCTATAGCAAAACATATTTAAAAATCAATTATTTGATCTGTGATTTACTTTTGTGTTTCTTTGAATTGAGCCACCATACCCAGCAATAGATTTGAATATCAACAAAATCTTCATTATGTAGGTTAATATCATTGCAGAAAGATAAAGGCTAAAGTCTCCGGACCTATGACCATAACAAATTAAATCTGTATAGAATATACAGTATAATGAAAAATAGGAGTCTTTAATATTAACATAACAAAACATTATAAGCCTTTCCCAATATGGTGCATTTTGTAAGAATGACTAAACCTTTGGTTCAGTTCCTATTGTTCAAGGCTGCTACAATTTGTAATGGTAAAGAGGGACTACATTGTTATGAAATTTTAAACATTAGAATGAATGAATACACAGATATATGAAGGACTAAATAAAAAAAACAGCCTGGCTGTAGTAAAATTACATGATCAAGGACATAATAATAAATCTGCCAATTTCCCTAGTCTTCCAATGCATGAGACGTATTTAATAAAGTAGCTATCGTATATACTGCCCTCAATGTTATAATTATCATGGATACATATCTCATCTCACAAATCCAAATTTACTGATAATGTGTAGACATCTACAGTAGATAGCCTTACTTATGACAGGAAAATAACTGTTGCCTCAGTAATATGCCTACTTATTAGTCTAAGTAAAACATCTATATTCTGAATATATACAAAATTGTTGGGTATAAACTATATTTTCTTAAAAAATAAGTATGTACAGTAGGTTAGGTTTGAGAAAATGTCACGGTGATGCGTGATTTAAGTATTAATCTTAATGTGCGAGAATCATACATAATGTGCAATAATAATGCATAATGCACAAGACTTGGCTGCAGGTATACTGGTAAAGAATGTTAGAGAAAAATCAACCCAACAGGACAGGACAGGCTGCAGTAAAAACTTACCATCAAGGAAGTATAAAAAATATTTTTAAAATACATGGATTCATTTATTCATTCATTCTTCATAAATGGCTTTGTGAATGAATGAGATATATGAATGAATGAATGGACGGATGAATGCTAGGTTTAGGTGATTGAATAAGATTGAACACTGTAAATGGCCTTTAGATTTCAGAGATTTTGTTGGAAGAAGACAGGAGCTTAGGCCTATCTTACTAAGCTTGTGAATTACCTGCAAATTTAAATAATGTAGATAATAAAGTTTTATAATCACTTACTAAAATCAATAGGAGATTTGTTATAATATTTAGTAGAAAATGTTCTTTCTTGAGTCACTTCATTTTCTTTAGAATTTTTTACCAAAGCAAAATTTTTTTTTTTTTAATTTGGATTTTTTAAGACACTGAATGCGTGTTCAAAGAAATCATCGGGAATGGATAACATATAGATATTTGATGAGTATTAACCACTGGTAAATAAAGGTGTTTTGCACTTTCATGGTACTATATCCTTAAAAATTTAGCTTATGTTGTAAACACTTATTTGAAGTCTTACATGAGTTAATGGCAGGCAAATGAGTAGAGATAGTAAGAGCAAAAGATAAAAGAAAACCTGAAAAGTGCCTCTTTAAATTTTATGGGGCTCTATCTCATAAAATACACAAATAATAATTCATTCACTAGTACAACCAAATTTGTCAACATACATACATCAGAATCAACAAGTAAAAAAGTACGAACTGAATAAAATAGTTCAGTAAAGTAGAAAAAAGCATTTGTCATGAACTTGAGACAAAATGAATATGTAAATCTGTTTGCAGGAAGTAAAATCAAGGCCTCATGGGACAATAACACCCACACAACAAAAATACCACAAATTCAAGTACATGATAAAATCCCGAATCCATTCAAACAAGGTGTGGTTATCTACTTATTTGCTTTATATACACCAATGTTGACATAGACGTAGTAATAATTTATAACACACTGTGTACAAGAATCAATATATGTTCACAGC